GGCCCCGCCCCCAGGACCCCACCCCCGCCAACCACAGCGAGCCACGCCGGGCCCAACTCACAGAGCTCAGCACCGTCAGACACAGCGAGCCACGCCGGGCCCGACTCACGGAGCTCAGCACCGTCAGACACAGCGAGCCACGCCGGGCCCGACTCACAGAGCTCAGCACCGTCAGACGCAGTGAGCCACGCCGGGCCCAACTCACGGAGCTCAGCGCCATCCGACGCAGTGGGCCACGCCGGGCCCGACTCACGGAGCTCAGCGCCATCCGACGCAGTGGGCCACGCCGGGCCCGACTCACGGAGCTCAGCGCCATCCGACGCAGTGGGCCACGCCGGGCCCGACTCACGGAGCTCAGCGCCATCCGACGCAGTGGGCCACGCCGGGCCCGACTCACGGAGCTCAGCGCCATCCGACGCAGTGGGCCACGCCGGGCCCGACTCACGGAGCTCAGCACCGTCAGACACAGCGAGCCACGCCGGGCCCGACTCACAGAGCTCAGCACCGTCAGACACAGCGAGCCACGCCGGGCCCAACTCACAGAGCTCAGCACCGTCAGACACAGCGAGCCACGCCGGGCCCGACTCACAGAGCTCAGCACCGTCAGACACAGCGAGCCACGCCGGGCCCGACTCACAGAGCTCAGCACCGTCAGACACAGCGAGCCACGCCGGGCCCGACTCACAGAGCTCAGCACCGTCAGACACAGCGAGCCACGCCGGGCCCGACTCACAGAGCTCAGCACCGTCAGACACAGCGAGCCACGCCGGGCCCGACTCACAGAGCTCAGCACCGTCAGACACAGCGAGCCACGCCGGGCCCGACTCACAGAGCTCAGCACCGTCAGACACAGCGAGCCACGCCGGGCCCGACTCACAGAGCTCAGCACCGTCAGACACAGCGAGCCACGCCGGGCCCGACTCACAGAGCTCAGCACCGTCAGACACAGCGAGCCACGCCGGGCCCGACTCACAGAGCTCAGCACCGTCAGACACAGCGAGCCACGCCGGGCCCGACTCACAGAGCTCAGCACCGTCAGACACAGCGAGCCACGCCGGGCCCGACTCACAGAGCTCAGCACCGTCAGACACAGCGAGCCACGCCGGGCCCGACTCACAGAGCTCAGCACCGTCAGACACAGCGAGCCACGCCGGGCCCGACTCACAGAGCTCAGCACCGTCAGACACAGCGAGCCACGCCGGGCCCGACTCACAGAGCTCAGCACCGTCAGACACAGCGAGCCACGCCGGGCCCGACTCACAGAGCTCAGCACCGTCAGACACAGCGAGCCACGCCGGGCCCAACTCACAGAGCTCAGCACCGTCAGACACAGCGAGCCACGCCGGGCCCGACTCACAGAGCTCAGCACCGTCAGACGCAGTGAGCCACGCCGGGCCCAACTCACAGAGCTCAGCGCCATCCGACGCAGTGGGCCACGCCGGGCCCGACTCACGGAGCTCAGCGCCATCCGACGCAGTGGGCCACGCCGGGCCCGACTCACGGAGCTCAGCGCCATCTGACGCAGCGGGCCACGCCAGGCCCAACTCACAGAGCTCAGCGCCATCCGACGCAGTGGGCCACGCCGGGCCCGACTCACGGAGCTCAGCGCCATCTGACGCAGCGGGCCACGCCAGGCCCAACTCACGGAGCTCAGCACAATCTGACG